CATGCTACCAGATGGGGCTCTTCCTTATTCAGTCCTGAGTTACAATCGGTTGGCTTTAAGGTCAGAGCTTTACCATTCTCCCGTGTTAGTTCAGTCGCTGGATAAGAATCCTATCGTACAATGTGTGATCCATCCTTGATTTTCTTTGCTTAAGCGCTCCAAACATCCAGCTTCTAGGGACACCCTCATTCAATTTCTTCCTCATGAGTGGGATGCATTCCCACAGTTCCGAATTTCAGATCTTGTCAGTGCGATATAGTAATCGTGTTTCTGCTTTAATAAATAATGCAAAAGCGCAGGTCTTAAATACTAATGGCATTCTTGTAATACTTGTGTCATGTTTAATGAACTGACACTCTTTCTGTAGTGGGTACATATTTCCTTATTAGTAGATTGTGTATGCCCCGTGTTACTGTAGGATGGTGGTGATTGATGAGAGAAGTTTTATTAAGAACTCCAACAGCGTTGGAAGGATTGAAATTCTCTTAACGAGAGAGTCGGTGAAAAACGACATTCGGGGAATATTCTTAAGCCGTCTTCAGGTCCTATATTGTTTGATATCGTATTCTCAAGTAGAAGAGACTTACATAGAGGGTAGTATTAGGCCTTGTATATTCAAATATAATTGTAGTACTATATATCTTATGTTTATTTTTAAATATATTTGTATTACATATCATAAATTAAAGTACAATAATTATAAACATCATGTTTTTGTAGAATGGTAGTAGTCGATCTCGTATGTTCAAGTATAACTGTGGTATTATATGTCTAATCTTCAGATAAGATTGGTATACTCAAATACAATAACATATATATTTTCCATGTTTTTCTAAAGCAATTTTACTGTATAGTAGAATCGTAGCACTATATTTTATTTTGTCTGAGAAAACTAAAGTATTTAAATGTTCATGTTTTGTTTTAGAGCAAAGCTAGAAAATAGGATATCGGCACTTTGTTCACCAGAGGGAATCGAATCCCGAATTGTAATATTGTAAGTGCATAAACTTACCTCTCTGACCCACTGGGAACGTATTAAACATAAAATGTTCCGTAAGAGAGCTAGTAGTATGTATATTAAGTTAGATATTATTTTATACTAAAAACAGTCGTTTTAACCTGTTAGGTAAGCCTATTCTGTATTAGAGTAAGATTACAGTATATATTTCAAGTTTTTATTTTGTTTTTTAGTTGTTATCATTATTATTGAATTTCGGGTAAAGCTACACGAGTGCTATTTGCGTTAGCCGTCCCTAATTTTGAAGTAATGGACTAGTCAGCACTGTCCCCATTAATTCTTCAGTTTATCTTTACAAACGA